TGGTAGATCAGAGTGCACAGCACAGTATAAATGTCGACATTGGAAACTGGATTTGAAAACAGTTGCTAACCCCCACCTCTGCCAGTAGTGCAAAGGGAGCTGAAAACAGACAAGAGAAGGTAGTTGTAAGAATAGGCTGGACTCACCAGCACTAAGACAAGCATCTGTGGGAAACATAAAATCCTGTGAGGTGAAGAATTCATTTAACAGAAAAGCCTTGTTTGTTAATGATCTACCATTAATAAAAGTCAAATGAAATATCCTCTCCTCATATTCTAGTGGGGTGGCTTAGTGGGCGAAGATTCCCATAATCTTCATTTGCCTTGGAAGAAGAGTCTCCACTGACAAGTTCAGTAGAGCCGGATAGACAGGTTAGATCCATCGAAGCTCCAGTTATAACAGAGAAGATGGAGAAGACTGAAGGAATACTTTGAAGAACTCATGAATGTAGAAAATGACAGAGAGGATGGAAGGGGAAAAGTTAGGAAGTGCAGAGGATTAGTAGGGAGGAAGTGAGTGCAATGATAGACGCCATTAAGTCGTTACTAGCGCTTTTATGGTTCGTGGAATATGAGTTCCAAACGAGGAGTGGCTCTTGTTCCTTTTTACCGACCTGAGATATGGAGAACTGATTGTCGACTTTCAAGTTCAAAAGTGTGAAAGTAGATGTGTAACAGTGTGAAATGATGAGCAAGTAACATGAATATGGAAACAGCGTTAAGCTAGTTGTGAGAAGGCCTGATTTCGAAGCACGCAGGAGGGAAGTGATGTTGACGGCTTGCAAGAGTATATTTGCTTTGGGAGTGTCGATGAAAAGGGTAGAGAACGTCAGAATTGAATGCAATTCAATTTAATATAAATTTGAACAATACTGGGAAATCAAAGTAATATAGTTATACAATTAAAAAGGACTTTGGGGAATTATCTGCAATATGTACCTCTTAAAAAGTGCAATGTCTTGGGGCACTCTCATATTTATTTCCTGTGAAGTGAGAGTGAACACAATGAGATGTGAAGTGAAGTTCTGACCTTCAGTTCTAAGGTCAGAACTTAGTAACCTTGGGGGATACTCCCACTGGGTTTAAATCTGGGACTCTTCGCCATTTAACCTTAGAACTGAAGAAGCTTCTCGGATGAGAGGTGAAACGTCTTCAAGGAACTTAAAGAAGTCCAGTCGCTTTTCTTTCCAAGCTCCTTAGACCACCTGCTGTTAAATTAGTTTCTTCTACCAAAATAAATAATAACAAAATTAGACTTTGATATTTGAATATTCCTTATTAAGACCTGAATATTCAATGTGCGGTCCTAATTTTTTCATTACAGTGCATTTGTTACCAACAGATGACTGCAAAAATAAACTGAATTTGATAAAAGCATATAACTGCAAATGTTAATATTTCATATATGTGATGCAAACATACATACTTGGTACAGGCTTAGTGCTACTGAATAAGGCTACGTTCACACTGCAGGCGAAAGCGCATCAAATCCGACTTTTTTGAGCCTATGCGACCCATATCCGATCATGGTGTGACAGTGTGAACAGCACAAATCCGATATTTTCAAATCCGACCTGGGTCACTTTCGTATGTGGTACTGAATCCGATACATATCTGATGTTTTAGAAAGCGACTGCTGTTTGAACGGTCATGTCGCATTAAATCCGTCTTTTACGTCACTGACACAAGACAGACGCCAATTATCAGCGCCCGAGAAGACATCGCGAACGCTTCCTGGCCATCCCGTGTAGATGTCAGTGAAACTGTTGGGAAGACAACGTTGGAGAAACGTGAACATTTTATTTGTACTGTATAATCTGCAGATTCTGACAGAAATCTGCAACTATCCTTTGAAGCACCGCTCCTCTAAAACAGCAATAAGGATCATTATTAGGTTATCTACATTATTATGTAAATAACCAAAAATTGGGAAACGTAAAGTCCGAAGTCTTTATATTAACCATCAGTCAAACAATATTGTTTGCTCTGGGTCTAAACAGCGCGTTGTGTGTACGTCTTTTGCGCATGCGAGCCGCTTGAGGGTTCAACAGTTAGAGGCGTTTCTATCACATTTTATTTGAGTCTGTAAAGAGAAAACAGCGATTTATCAAAATCTGAACTTGAGCATTAAGACCTGCCCAGTAGTGCGTATAGATATTATAGTTCCTTTAGAATTGCTTTGTAAATTTAATTGTCTCTAAAAGCAAGGAGCTGTTAATTGTTTCACCTGATTTTACTTTTTCTAATTAACGAAACAGCAAGGCCGATCGTTGTGACGTAAGTTTCTTTAGGAAAGTGTCATCACTGATTGCCTGTGCACCATTGTGGTTGGACTTCTCTGTTACAGAGGCAAGAACCTTCAGAACCTGCCATGGCGTTCTCTTTTCTCACTAGATGACAATCGGACTTATCACGGGGCATTGCTGTGAGGGCGAGCGCAAACAAATTTACTCACCTACAGTAGGTCGTAATAAAAACTGGGAGTCATGGTGATTTCCTTTATTTATTATGGGATGTTATAAGTATCATTTATTTTGTTATTATATATTTTTTCTGTTTAACCCAGTTTCGAAACAGGCCTCTGTTGAGTCTGCATCCAACTGGCCTGAGTATCGGCGGAGAGAAATCATGAAATTGATTCCCAGGGGGACACTGAGTTGGTTATGAGTGCACAAGCTCACTCCCTCAACCAATGATACAAGACTACTCTGTTTCTTGGCATCTCACTATGGGAATATGCTGTGAGGGAAAACAGAATGAGACGTGGCCACAGAATTCAACCAATGTTGATTGATCCTGAACTGAAAATCGTTATATGTGAGATCGATTTAAATGTATCAGTGATTGTATGTTTGATTATTAACGAATCTGCCCTTAACGGTTTGTTCTTGATCTCACTCACATATACTTTTCCAAAGACTCTGTCCTTAGGTCTCCCTATGGCTGTTCCTGGAGTCAAGTAACTCTAACTGTTGCGTTAAATCGTCTGCAGATGGGCTTTCTTTGATATAATCTTATTAACAGGATGGCTGTTCCACCTCTATTTACCCTATGCTATTTATCGACCCGCTGGTTCATTATTTTAGAATACGCCTCCTAAGCAGGATTATACCTGGAGCATCTGTAGCTGCAGTGACTGTTAATTCCATTAACTGACCACCGCTGGTAGTGTGCAGGCTGGGTGGACCAGTTTCATGATCTCAGTACCAGTTTGTTGTCTGAGGTCAGTATTTTTGCTCCTAATTCAAAAAGGTAAAAATAAGTGTTACTATTGCATTCACAGTCTTCAATCTATTAATCTATCAAGAAAAAAATGACAGTTCTTGTTTTTCTCTAGATGTAAATTCAGCAGCCTCTCTCACAGTCAGTCCTAACAGTGTGCAGCACTTCATTTATGATTCAGTATCTCTGAATTGTTCTGGAAACTCTTCTCAGTGGAGAGTTATGACATTTACTCAGGACGGCTATCTGAGAGAACTCCGGGAATGTGGAAACCGGGGGATAATGACTGAATCCACATGCAACATAGATCTTCACTGGTTCCTCCGGTACCAAGATGCTGTGTCCTGGTGTGAGTCTGAATCAGGACTGTTCAGCAATGGAATCAACATCACTGTACCTTGTAGGTCTTTACATCCCTAATTCTAAAGAGTTTGGACGCTGTGTAAATTATAAATTAAGAAAGAAAACAGTGTCTATGTTTAAGCTTTTAAAATGAGAAAGTGTATAATTGCAAGAAATAAGTCATTTTGAATGTGGTGGCAGCAACGCATCACAAAAAAGGGACAGGGCCACATTTACCACTGTGTAGCATCCCCACTTATTTTAACAACAGTCTATAAACATCTGGGGACTGTAGAAACCAGCTGCTGGACCTTTGGGAGAGCAATATTATCCCATAGTTTTCTGATAGAGGCTTATAGCTGCTCAACAATCCTGGGTCTTCTTTGTCATTTTGTGATACACAAATTGTTTTCAAATGGTGAAAGACTGGGACTCCAGGCAGCCCAGTTCAGCTTCTGTACTCTTCAAATAAGCAAGGCCTTTCATGAAAGAAGTCATCTGGATGAGAGCATATTTTGCTCTAAAATCTCTATATACTTTTCAACATTAATGGTGCCTTTTCAGATGAGCCACAAAACTCATATTCCATTCACAAGACCTTAAACCATCAGATCCATCTTTGACTGGCCCGTAATACAGCGTGATTAGTTTCTTTTCTTTCTGTCCAGTGGCTGGATTTCTTATTTTAACAAGTATTCAATTTTTTAATTGACAAAAACATTTCTGGTTATCTTGGCTTTCATTAAAGAGTATTCTTCTTTCCTCTCTCGGTTGTGTGTTGGTCAAAACTCTTTGAATGAACCAGAATACACGAAAATTTTTTCTTTTCGATTAATCATAATTTGAATTCTTTTTTAAATACATAATGCCCACCCTGCACTAAGAAGAAGATCCATCCACGCTGTCTATTAGGGCTCAGTTCTAAGTTGATCTTGATGGTTTAAGGTGCTTATATACTATGGAATTGAGTTTTGTGCTCATTGACAAAGCACCATTAATGTTGAAAAGTTATGAGATTTTGAGCAATATGCTCTCTCCAGATGATTCTTTCATGAAAGCTATGCTTATTTGAAGAGTAAGAAGCTGACTGGGCTGCCTGGAGTCCCAGTCTCTTCACCATTTGAAAACTATTTGTGTATCACAAAATGAAAAAGAAGCCAGGATTGTTGAGCAGTATAAGCCTCTATCAGAATACATGGGATAATATTGCTCTCCCAAAGTCCGCAACTGGTTCTACAGTCCCCGAGTTTATAGATGTTGTTAAACATAGTGGGTGCCAGTGGTAAATGTGGCCTGTCCTTTATTTGTGATCGTTGCTGCCACACTTCAAAATGACTTATTTCTTGCTTATACACTTTCTCATTTTAAGCTTACACTAGACATGTTTTACTTTCTAATTTATATTTTACACAGCGTCCATTTTAGATTGAATTCAACTCATGTCGTGGATGTTGATTCTTGTCGTCCTGATTCAGACTCACACCAGGACACAGCATCTTGGTACCGGAGGAACCAGTGAAGATCTATGTTGCATGTGGATTCAGTCATTATCCCCCGGTTTCCACATTCCCGGAGTTCTCTCAGATAGCCGTCCTGAGTAAATGTCATAACTCTCCACTGAGAAGAGTTTCCAGAACAATTCAGAGATACTGAATCATAAATGAAGTGCTGCACACTGTTAGGACTGACTGTGAGAGAGGCTGCTGAATTTACATCTAGAGGAAAAACAAGAACTGTCATTTTTGTCTTGATAGATTAATAGATTGAAGACTGTGAATGCAATAATAACACTTATTTTTTTCCTTTTTAAATTAGGAGCAAAAACACTGACCTGCAGACCAGACAAACTTTGGTTGACTGTGATCAGTGTGATACTCTGGGTCTCCTCTTCCAGCTCTGCACACATATCCTGCTGTGTGTGTCTGTCCATGAATGATGTAGGAGTCCTGTGCAGTCCCACTGATGCTTCCAGGTAATAATTCATACTTGTAGAGGCGATTAATTCTATTATGATGAATCCGGTGTCTGTGTCTGGAGTAATAGTCATAGGGGTAATAGAGGTAGGGGTGATACATGCCTGACTCCTGTTTAATAAGTTTATACCAGTAGAAGCTCCATCCTGCAGACGGATGTTCAACCTCACAGTTCAGAGTTACTGAGGCTCCAGGACTCAGCCATGATGGAGACACAGTGAGGACAGGATGACGTTCTGTTGGGAAAATATATTTTCAGAGTGAGATCAAGAACAAGAACCTTAAGGGCAGATCGTCTGTTAATAAATGCAAGCATACAATTCACATTACATTTATAATTCACTCACCATAAACTATCTTTAGTTCAAAGGATGCACTCCACATTGTTGAATTCTGTTGTGCACTTCTCATTCTGCCCTTACACCAGTAGTGCCCATAGTGTGATGCAGAAACAGAGTTAATCTTGTATTCATTTTGGTTTGGAGGTTGATGTGAGCTGCTTGTTGCCCACTCATAATCCCACTCAGTGTCTCCTCCTGGATCTCACATTTCAAAGTGATTGTCTCTCCTCTATATACCTCAGGCCAGTTTGGATGCAGAGTCACAGCAGGCCTGTTTCTAACTGTTAAGCAGATAAAAAAAAATAACAACAAAAACTATTAATGACTTTTTAACATCTTCCATAATTAAATAAATGAGGAAATTTCACCATGACTCACCAGTTTTTTTAATACTGATCACATCACTGTAGTCTGTGTAGTAAATTTTGTTGCCTCGTCCTCCTCTCACCAATAGTCTCCTTCCTGTGATACACCGATTTGTCCATCTGAGTGGAGAACAACTTCTGCCATCGTCAGTGTTTCTGAGGTTTTCTTGCCTCTGTACCAGTAGTAACTCCAACCAGTGTAGATGGTGTCACAGAGCAAGTCAGGGTGACTGTATCACCTTCTAGAAAGACTCTACTGTCAGCACTGATGCTGGCCTTTGGTCTGTTTCCTGTTTAATTTAGAAAAAAAAGTATAATAAAATTACAGTGAAACAATTACTGCCCCTTTGCTTTAGAGACAATTACAATTTTACAAGCAATTCTTAAACGATACATAGTATATCTTATGTTACGTTCACACTGCAGGTCTTAATGCTCAATTCAGATTTTTTGATCAAATCCGATTTTTTTGTCTGCTTGTTCACACTACAGATAAAATGTGATCAGCAAACGCGCTCTAGTGTGAACCCTCAATAGCGGCCCGCATGCGCAAAAGAAGACGTCACACACAACGCGCTCTGTTTAGACCCAGACCAAACAATATTGTTTGACTGATGGCCCTTAATATAAAGACTTGTTTCGGACTTTACGTTTCCCAATTTTGCTTTAAGTTATAAAGTTATTTTGTTATTTACATATGGCCTAATAATGATCCTTATTGCTGTTTTAGAGAGGAGCGGTGCTTCAAAGGATAGTTGCAGATTTCTGTCAGAATCTGCAGATTATACAGTACAAATAAAATGTTCACGTTTCTCCAACGTTGTCTTCCCAACAGTTTCACTGACATCTACACTGGATGGCCAGGAGGTCATGTGTCTTCTCCGGGCGCTGATAATTGGCATCTGTCTTGTGTCAGTGACGTAAAAGACGGATTTAATGCGACATGACCGTTCAAACAGGCAGTCGCTTTCTAAAACATCAGATATGTATCGGATTCAGTACCACATACGAAATGACCCAGTCGGATTTGAAAATATCGGATTTGTGCCATTTCACACTGTCAACCATGATCGGATATGGGTCGCATAGGGCTCAAAAAAATCGGATTTGATGCGCTTTCGCCTGCAGTGTGAACGTAGCCTTATAGTTCATGCCTGTACCAAGTAGTATGCCACTAATGAAATATACATTTGCATTATATGCTTTTATCAAATTCAGTTTATTTTTGCAGTCATCTGTTGGTAACAAATGCACTGTAATGAAAAAATTAGGACCGCACATTGAATATTCAGGTCTTAATAAGGAATATTCAAATATCAAAGTCTAATTTTGTTATTATTTATTTTGGTAGAAGAAACTAATTTAACAGCAGGTGGTCTAAGGAGCTTGGAAAGAAAAGCGACTGGACTTCTTTAAGTTCCTTGAAGACGTTTCACCTCTCATCCGAGAAGCTTCTTCAGTTCTAAGGTTAAATGGCGAAGAGTCCCAGATTTAAACCCAGTGGGAGTATCCCCCAAGGTTACTAAGTTCTGACCTTAGAACTGAAGGTCAGAACTTCACTTCACATCTCATTGTGTTCACTCTCACTTCACAGGAAATAAATATGAGAGTGCCCCAAGACATTGCACTTTTTAAGAGGTACATATTGCAGATAATTCCCCAAAGTCCTTTTTAATTGTATAACTATATTACTTTGATTTCCCAGTATTGTTCAAATTTATATTAAATTGAATTGCATTCAATTCTGACGTTCTCTACCCTTTTCATCGACACTCTCAAAGCAAATATCACATCTGCAATGCTCTTCTAGCCATCACTCCATCCTGCTTGCTCACTAATTATCACCGCCCTTCTCAACTTAGCTTCAACAGCTGTTTCCCATATTTTCATGTTATGGCTCATCAGTTTCATCACTGTTACTACAGCTCTACGTTTCACACTTGATCTTGAAAATCTGCACCAATACAGTTCTCCATTCCTCAGGCTTGTGTTAAACAATGTGACTAAAAGGCCCACTGCCCTCTCTTCTGGACATCTCCATACCTCCACTGATGTGACATCAGGACCAGCTGCCTTTGTACTCTTCATCTGCTTATCAGTTGCACTCACTTCCTCCCTACTAATCCTCTGCACTTCCTTACTTTTCCCCTTCCATCTTCTCTGTCATTTTCTACATTCATGAGTTCTTCAAAGTATTCCTTCAGTCTTCTCCATCTTCTCTGTTATAACTGGAGCTTCGATGGATCTAACCTGTCTATCCGGCTCTACTGAACTTGTCAGTGGAGACTCTTCTTCCAAGGCAAATGAAGATTATGGGAATCTTCGCCCACTAAGCCACCCCACTAGAATATGAGGAGAGGATATTTCATTTGACTTTTATTAATGGTAGATCATTAACAAACAAGGCTTTTCTGTTAAATGAATTCTTCACCTCACAGGATTTTATGTTTCCCACAGATGCTTGTCTTAGTGCTGGTGAGTCCAGCCTATTCTTACAACTACCTTCTCTTGTCTGTTTTCAGCTCCCTTTGCACTACTGGCAGAGGTGGGGGTTAGCAACTGTTTTCAAATCCAGTTTCCAATGTCGACATTTATACTGTGCTGTGCACTCTGATCTACCACTAAGATTTTTAAATGGAATTTGCAGAGTTTGTGGGTGAAATAACCCTGAATTATGATCACTTTAAATTGTTGGTGGTTTTAATATTCATGAGTCTAATGTCTTCATCTTGTTGAAAGATTTAACCTCACTTACTCAGTGACTTTATAAACAACAAAAATGCTCATTAAACATGCTATGACCCATTAATGAAGAATAATGATTTCATCATTATTAGTTGTAATGTTTATTATGCCATAAGGTTTTTATAAATAATCAACGATGCACCAATAGATCATTAATGCCTTACACTATGTAG